AAAAACAAAACAACAACAACAAAAAAAAACCCTGGCCTTCAATGAATGCACCTACAGCCGCAGGTGTCTGCTGCACTGACCTCTGGAGGGCCCAGCCTGTCTGAATGCCCATAACATTTCTACCTAACTTAGCTGTCTATAATAACATCAGAACCTATGTTCTCACTCCACAATTTTACCCCACCCCAAGGAAAGGTCCCTCCCAGCGCAGGCCTAGCACTGGCACAAACGAATTCCAAAGCCAACTGCAACCAAGGCTCTAGCCCCTGCCTGGTCTTGCCAGGCCCCACAGTGCTACAAGAACTTCGGTGGCTCTAAACAGGGCAACAGGCCCTGGGTTGGTGGCATGCACACTGCTTCCACGGGGTGCCCCGGGATGGCCTTCCCTCAAAAGCTGGACTCAAGACCAGGGGCAGCTGGCGACCTGTCCACCACAACTCATGCCCCTGCGACCTCCAGCAGGGCCTCCAGGAAGTCACAGGAGACATGGGAAGACTTCTCATTTCTTTTTTCCCCCATAACCAGCTCTGGCAGAAAAACAAGCCCACCTTTCCTCAGTTCCTCTCTGAAGCCAAAAGCCCCTGGTCCCTGGAATCTTCTGGCATGCCCAGGACACGTGTCGGTCTTGGAGCAGAGTCCTGAGAAACAGTATTTGGGTGTAGGCAGAGGAATCTCCCTCCTACCCCCTAAATAATCACCGACACTTTTGCTCTCAAAGCAGGGATGGCGAACCTTTAAAGCTTTCAATGATAACAGCCCACTGCGGCACGAGTATCAAGGTTTGCCACCACTGGCTAGGGCCACACTCACCTCTCCTCTTCCACCTTCTCTTTTGAGAAATCAGCCATCTTCATTGCAGAGCCATTGTTCACATCTTCCCCCATAAACCTTGTGCGTGTTTTTAGATGCTATCTCCCATGTTTTCTCCCCATGTTTCTCTGACTCTACAAGCTTTGCCCCTGAGCTCTATAACACACAGCCTTACCACACAGACAGCTGGCTCCCCTCCCCGGCGTTTGTGGCTCACCCACACCTGTGAACTTTTCTTTTTCTTTTTTTTTTGAGACAAGGTCTCGCTATATAGTCCAGGGTGGCACAGAACTATGTGGCCCAGGCTGGCCTGAAACTTGTGATGAGCCTCCTGCCTCAGCCTCCCAAGTTCTGGGCTCACAGGCTGCATCACCACGCTTGGCTCTAGCAGAGCCTTTTCTATCATTCATCTATTTTTAGTATATGTGCTGCCGAAGCGAGCACTCTATCATTCATCTTTGGAGCCAGCTGCACCCTGGCTCTCTGCTTTAACTCAGTGGTAGAACCAAATGGCCTTAGGGAGGGCTGTAAACCTATCGATTCAACAAACCTTTCAAAGCATCCCCTATGTGTCAGGCCTGACTCATCCTTTACTTCCTTTAACCTTTGCAACCGCTCTCTGGGAGATATGATCACCCTTAATTCTTTTTTTTTTTTTTTGTCTTTTTGAGACAGGGTCTCGCTATGCAGTTCAGGCTGAACTTGAGCTCATTTTGTAGCCCAGGCTGGTCTCGAATCACAACGATCCACCTGCCTCAGCCTCCCGAGTGCTGGGATTACAGGTGTGCGCCACCTCACCCAGCTGATCATCCTTAATTCTGCAGAGGGAGACCCCAAGGTTGAGAGAGGTAGTGACTCCAGTGGGTCGGTCTGAATCCATGTTCTCATGGAGTTTGGGGGTGATTCTGGCTTGGGAGAAACCAGTCCTGTCCTCTCTGGAGGCCTTTGGGACTTGCTGAGTCACTCTTGTCCCACCTGTCCCTGCCAGTCTCCGGGAAGGAGAGATGACACGGGAAAAGCAGAGCGGAGCGCACGCAGAGCGGAGGGGTGGGCCGGCGGCCCATGGCTGAGGCCTGGCTCCCGGAGCTGGGGGCAGACGCCGAGCGCACGCCTTGCCCCAGTGTCCTGGAGCTGGAGGAGCTCCTGCGGGCGGGGAAGGCCTCTTGCAGCCACGTGGATGAAGTCTGGCCTAATCTTTTCATAGGAGATGCGTGAGTGGCCGCTGGGGGTGGGGGCAGGACAAGCAGTTCTTGAGCTTTTCACCAGGTGAGGTGCGGGGGGGAGGGGGCGAGGAGAAAACTTGGGCTGGCAGGGACTTTCTGCAGGACTCCGGCATGCCCGGGACAACGCAGTGAGCAGGTGTGGCCTGGGGTGGAGGGCCAGGGATTTCTCCCGCCTGCAAGAGGGGGCCCTTCCCAAAGCACTCTGGAGTCTCCAGGACAACGGCTGGTCTGGGGGCAGAGGGCTGGGGGACAGCACATGCAGGAGGAGGCAGGGCAGACAGATCCCCTTTCCGGTCCCAGCATCCCTGCTGTGGACACAGTGGGTGGGGAAGCCTAGTGGTGGAGGCCCAGGGCGGTGTCGCCTCTGGACGTCTCCAGGTTAGAAGCAGGTAGGCGGTGGTGGCCGAGAAGAGGCAGGATGTGTGTGGGTGGAGATGGGGCAAGAAGGGCAGGGCAGGCGGTTGCCCGGCAGAAGCAGCCCCTTCCCGCCTGCTGGTGGGATGGCCCGGGGAAGCACAAAGAGGCCAAGTGAAGCCTGCACCAGCGCTGCCCTTGAAAGCGCTGGAAGTGCGGCTTGCTGGGCCCTGGCTCCTTCTGGCCCTTGTGGCTTCACCCTCCCAAAAGAGGGAGCCACGGCCACCAGGACACCTCCTTCCCGGGCCCCACGTTCAGCCAGCCTCCAGCTCCCTTCCTGCCCTCCCCAGGGCCACGGCAAACAACCGCTTTGAGCTGTGGAAGCTGGGCATCACCCACGTGCTGAACGCCGCCCACGGGGGCCTCTACTGCCAGGGCGGCCCTGACTTCTACGGCAGCAGCGTGAGCTACCTGGGGGTGCCGGCCTACGACCTCCCCGATTTCGACATCAGCACCTACTTCTCCTCCGCAGCAGACTTCATCCACCAAGCGCTCAGCACCCCCGGGGGTAGGACTTGGGGTCAGAGCCCGGGGCGGCCCTGTGCACGCATGGGGCGGACGCCTCGCTTCCCCTCCATCATTAGTGCCCTTCCATCCTGGTTTTTAAAAACGCTCCCCTCAACCCCCCGGCACTTTATTCCCCATGGCCTCACAGAGAGGAGCGGGCCCCAGTGTAAGGCCATAGGGCCAGCCAGGTCTCCGAGTCACAGAATGGTTCATTCTCTGACACCCTTAAGAAATCACACCTGGTACCTAATGTCTGCCCCAAGGACTTCCAAATTTTAAAAAATCTTAAAATACCCAGGATACAACAAAGGAGACTAGCTGGGTGCAGTGGCGTACCCCTGTGATCCCAGCATTTGGGAGGTTGAGGCAGGAGGATCACCATGAGTTCAAGGCCAGCCTGAATTACATAGCCAGATCCTGTCTCAACCAACCAACCAAACAAACAAACAAACAAACAACTGGAGACTATCAAGGCTGAAGCCCTGGCTTTGTACTCAGCCTGGGAGACAGCTGTGCCCCTTGCTGTGTGACCCTGGGAAAGCCAGTGTCCCTCTCTGGACCTCGGTTTCCTCATCCTTGAAATAGGAATGATATGACTACAGCTTATACCAACTTACAATGTTCAAGGCACCTAGAAATTCTTTTGTTCTTCATCCACTCATCCATCAGCTATTTACTGAGTATCTGCTACATGCCAGGCACTGAACTAGATTCTGGAAATCCAGACTTCACAAGGCAGGGTCCCTGCACTCACAGGGCTTGCCAGTCAGACAGTGAAGTATCAAGAGTGCTGCTAGGGGCTGGGGATTTAGCTCAGCGGCAAAGCGCCTGCCTGGCAAGTGCAAGGTCATGAGTTCGGTTCCCGGTACCAGAGAAAAACCAAAAAACCAAAAAAAAAAAAAAAGAGTGCTGCTGCTAGGAGGAAGCGAATACAGGAAGCTATGGGGACCCAGAACAGGGGGCCGAGTCTCCAGGGTCAAGGAAGCAGGGACTTCCTTCTGCAGTAGTAGCTGCTGGGCCACATGCAAAATCGATGAACTGCTCTGTGATTCAGGCGATACCTGTATGGTCAGGAAAGCCCTGTCTCCACGGACACGTGAAGGCTGAGTAGTAGGAGTTAGTCAGCCTGAGGCCGGGAGATGCACCCCAGGAAGTGGGAATAGCACCAGCTAAGGCTGGAGGTGGGGGAGGCCACAACAGAAAGTTCCACAGCGTTCCCAGAGCTCAGGGTTGGGGGTCCAATGAGACAGGCTGCAGGCTCACCTCGGGGTCTTCTAGAATTGGGCTCCATCCCAAAGCTAGGAAAAGAGGGGTCGGCCTACCCATTTGGAAGATCAGTCTGGGCTACATAGTGAATTCAAGGCCACAATACGGAGCTGGGCATGGTGATGCACGCCTGTAATCCCAGCACTCCAGAGGCTGAGGCAGGAGGATTGCTGTGAGTTTGAGGGCAGCCTGGGCTATATAGTGAGTTGAAGGCCAGCTTGAACGGCATAGTGAGACCCTGTCTCAAAAGGACAAAAAAAAACAACAACAAAAACCAATACTGAGTTTAAAAAAAAAGGAAAGATCAGGAAGCTGAGGCAGGTGGGGGCTGAGCGCCTTGCCAGGGTCTCTGAGCGCACCCACGCAGGGTGGGGAAGGGAGGGCCGGCCGGAAGGAGCCTCTCACCCGCTGTCTCCCCAGCCAAGGTCCTGGTGCACTGCGTGGTGGGCGTGAGCCGCTCCGCCACGCTGGTCCTGGCCTACCTCATGCTGCGCCAGCGGCTGTCGCTGCGCCAGGCCGTGCTCACCGTGCGGGAGCGACGATGGATCTTCCCCAACCGCGGCTTCCTCCACCAGCTCCGCCAGCTGGACCAGCGGCTGCGGGGCTAGAGCCCGAGCTGAGCGGCCAGGTGAGGAGGGCACCGGGCGAAGCTGGGTGTGGCTGCCAGTGGGGAGTGGGCGGAGGGCCCGGGCAGGGGACGAGGGACGGGGCTGGCTGGCAGGGCGACCCGTGGTGGGATGCCGAGGGGGCCATGAGTCCCTGGGAGTGGCACGTTCTTCAGGATCCAGGCGCCTGGTCGAGCAGCGGATGTCTGATCATGCCGGCACCCTCTTCTCAGCGCAGGGCCTTAGACGCCCTGACCTCTGACCTCTGCCCATTAGGCAGCTGGCTTGGGGGTAGTTGGTCAGTGAGGTTGGCAGCATGGCAAAACCCACGGAAGTGCCATCCACAGAACCACGTGACTGTGTAGCGGGAGCCCCCAGGAATTGTGCAGTGCGTAGCCTGGGTAGCTGTCCCTGGCAGCTCTGGGGCTGGGGGTCCTGCGGATGACAGGGCTGTGGAGAGGGGTCCTCGCTCTCCAGCCGTGACGCCGAACGTGCATCCTCACTTTTCCTCACACCTGCACCCACCTGACCTGATGCACAGGGCCCAAGGCAGAAGCCGGTGGAGGTGACAGTTTTCGCCTCTGTCCTGGGGGCCCCGGCCAGCCTGGCCCTTGGTTTACCTGCCCGTCACACGAAGCTCCTCTCTCCCAGAGCCGGGCCTTGCTCCGCGCCACGGGGCTCTGCCACTGCGCCACCCTGGCCCTGGCCCTGTTGCTGCTGCTGGGAGCTCTGGTCCAGGTGGACACCCAGCAAGTGCTAAAAGCCCAGCAGGGGGCGCCCCCTGCAGCCTGCGCCTCCGTCTGCCGCCCCCTGCACCCCGCAGCCCCTCGCAGCCGCTGCCTCCCGTCCCCACAGGTGGGTGAGGCCCCTCCCCCACTGCCTGAGGCTCCTCGGCCACCGACCTGCAGTTCAGGCGGAGGGTGGGGAGGGAGGAGTCGTCTAGGTGTCCCCGGTAGCCCCGGGCCACAGCTGCTTCCTCAGCCCTCCCGCGGGGCTCAGGGCACCCCAGCAGGCTGAGTCCCTTCTCCCTGGAGCTCGGACTTCAGAGGCTCAGGGTAGATGGAAAAGCCGGGTGTGTGGCGCACACTTGCATTCCCCGCATTTGGGAGGCTGAGGCAGGAGGACTGCCCCGAGTTCGAGGCCAGCTTGAGCCTGTCTAAAAAAAAAAAAAAATCAAGGTATCGATCTGCGGCAAGGGTCTCTGGGTAACATGGAGGGTTCCCAACAGGTCCAAATCTAAGATCGCTAATGACGGCACTCGGCCTCAAGAGGGCGCTCACTGTCTTCATGGAGCGGAGGGCTTGGGCCAGGACGCTGCCAGGTCCCTGTCTTTGCGGGAGGAGAGGATGGTGGTGGCCGGAGCGGCTCCTGGACAAAGCTGCCCTGTGACCCTCAGCCTGCGACTCCAGATCTCGTTTTGTTTTGTTATTTGACAGAGTTTTGCTACTTAGTTCAGGCAGGGCTTTAACTCACTGTGTAGCCCAGGCCGGCCTCAGATTCATGGTGATCCTCCTGCCTCAGCCTCCCCAGTGCTGGGATTACAGGCGTGCACCACCATGCCCCTCTGTGTCTCCAGATCTTATGACTGGTCCCGTCCCACCTTCCTTAGCCCCCAACAGGGCCCCAGGACTGGTTGTTGATGCTAGCAAGGCCACCAGCTTGTGTGTGCTTCCGGGGCATCTCTCTGTCCTCCATGGGTCCTTCCGGTCCCACTTCCGGTCCGCAAAGGCCAGTGGAGTTGTTTGTGGGCCTGAGGATGGAATCTGGCGGGCGCTGTCCCCCCGAGCCGCACTCCTGCCCCACAGCGAGCTTATGAGATGGTCTATCTGACGTCCCCTGCCAGCTGTTCCCCCACGGACACACCACACACGGGCCCAGCAGCGCCGGCGCTTGACCAGCCTGGCACTGAACGCACCCAGGGACCAGTGGACGAGCTGGGAGTGGCGGGGGTGGCTGGAGGGGGAGCCGGCAGATGCTTTATAATTAAACTCAAATCAAAAAATAGAAACAGCATCAAGTGTGCAGAGACAGGCGGCCGGCAGCCGGAGGCACAAACTGTGCGTCGGAGGAGCCCTCAGCTGGGGCCGGACACCCCCACAGGTGGGTGACTGCTGCTGCCCGGGGGCTTGGGGGCCGGGCACCTGTGCCCCCGTGGGGTGGGGGCACGGTGAGGGTGGGCCGACTACCACATGGGAAAGAGACAGAGGTACAAAGCACAGCAGAGTCAGATGCCCATGCCCGACATGGCTTCTCACACCCAAGCTGTTTAACCTCTCTGAGCCTCGGTTTCCTCAACTGTATAATGGGGATAATAGTATTACCACCTTCGTAAGGGCACAGTGAGGGGGCAGTGAGAAATGTAAGCCTTAGCTCTGTCTGGTACATAGTATGTCCTTCCTTAATAAGTGGTGTCCTCCCACACCCTTAGTAAGGCTGTGTGGTGACACACGCCTGTGATCCCAACACCTGGGAGGCTGAGGCAGGAAGACCATGAGTTTGAGGCCAGGCTGGCCTACATAGGGAGTTCAAGAGCAGCCTGGAATACCTATTGAGACTCTGTCTCAAAAAAACAACCAAACAACAAAAGATGTGGTGAAGGTAATAATTACTACTGGGAGGCGCTTTACATTTGTTATTTTCCAGCATCCCAGCATGGGCATAGAAGGCAGGGTTTAGGAGGTTGCAGAGGACTGTGTACTTCCTGGGGCAGGGTGGGAGACGGGCAAGAAGGTCGAGCACCCAAAAGGAGAGAATTGATGAAGATGTGAGGAGACTCGGCATGTAAACAGCAGCAGCGTGGGAGCAGGGAGACCACGCCCACAGAGGCAGCTGCTCGGGAGGGGCAGCAGCAGGAAGGAACAAGGTGGCCTGGGGAGCGGAGCAAGGCCTGGGGGGACGCGCAGAGGGAGGTGCAGGGAGGGCCCTCCACAGTCCCTGGCCGGTGGCCGCAGCCTCGCATCCCGGGTGCTGGAGATTGAAGGACAGGTCACGGTCCTGGCAGAGCAGATGGGACCACACACCCTGAGCTCAGGAGCCGGGGCCCAGGTGGGAGCTGTGCGGGAGGGGCCCCGCCTCCAGGGGAGGGCTCCATGCTGCAGCCCGGGCAGGCTGTCTAGGAGGCTGAGGGCTGGGCTGTGCCCCGGCAGCCAGATCCTGACCCCTCTGATGCGGGGAAGCCGTGGGTCCAGCAGGAGCCTGGCTGCCCGCTCGCTGTGCAGCTGAGCTGCATGGAACCTATTGGCCACCAGAGGGCGACCTTACCCCACTCCAAACTCCAGGGCGGAGCAGACGCCTGCTGGCTTCCCAAGGCCCCACTTGTCCTCACAGCTGCCGCGGCCCCCCTGGGTGCTGCAGATCGGGATGGCTGTGGATTCCCCTGCGCCTGGGCCTCCCCAACCCCAACATGCTACACTGCCTGTAGACATGGATTTCGCCCCGGATTCTGCTGAGACAGAACCCCAGAGTCCTGAGAAGTCAGGCCACGCCAGGCTCTCCAGCCGGAGTGTGGCCAGACAGCAGCAGCCTGGCAGGGGCCAAGCATTAGGGCTGGGCTTTCCTTTGGTTTTTTTGTTTTTGTTTTTGTCTTTTTGAGACAGGGTCTTACTGTACAGTTCAGGCTGGCCTTGAGCTCACATTGTAGCCCAGGCTGGTCTCGAACTCACAATGATCCTCCTGCCTCAGCCTCCTAAGTGCTGGGATTACAGACATGTGCCACGACCCCTGGCAGAGGTGGGCTTTCCTAAGGGGCCGGCTTCTCCCTCCCTCAGGTGCCTGGCCGCCACCTCAGGCAGCCTCCCATCTAAGGCAGCCACAGGGCTCAGAGCCTCCATCCCAGAGAGGCCCTGGATGAGGCCAGGGGTGCAGGACGCCACTGCAGGCCGCAGGCTTGCCTGCTCCTAGCCACGCCCCACGGCCTGGCCTGGAACCCTGGCCGCGTCACAGCATGTGTGTTCCGGGCGGAACCAGCCTGGCCCCGTTCTGCTCTCACCCAGCCTGACCCGCACTAGTGCCACTCCTGGCCCAGACCATGCCCTAGGTGGGCACATGCCGCCCAGCCCGCCCAAGCTCGCAGAGGCCATGAAGGGCCGAGCGGGGCCTTCGCTCCCGCCCTGTCCGCAGGCCACCCGCTGGGTGAGCACGGCCAAGCCCATGGTCTCCTGGGTGCCCCTTGCCGTCGCTGGCCCTGGCACCGCTGACCGGAAGGAAAAGATGCTCTTCCCGGTCTGTACCTTCCCCAGCTGCTGGCTGAGGGACTCGGGCACCGCCGGCCCGGACAGGGCTCCCTTCCCAGTGCAGCGCCAGGCCCAGGTCCTGGTGCCCCTGACGGCCCAGCTCTGCAGCGTCCCGGACACCCCGGGCCCGCAGCCACCGCCGCCACCTCCGGCAGACACAGCCCAGCCCGCCCGGGCCAGGCCCGCAGAGCCGCCGCGTGGGCCCGAGTCATGGGGGTAAGGAGGGAGCGACCTGCGTGGCCCTGGGGTCAGCGACAGCAGCCCCTGGGGGGGTGTGCACTGGCTTTGCCATAAACGGGGAGCCCCAAGACCAAAGCTTCCCCCACTGGTGGCTTGAGGAGAGAAGTGTGTACACAGGCACCAGGGTGATAAGTTCTGGTTCACCTTGTTCTTCGGGGAAGACCAGTTAAGCCAGTGAGCGCCTCATCCAGAGCAGCTGCGGCTACCGGCATGGAGGCACAGGCCTGTAATCCCACCACTGGGGAGGCCGAGGCAGGAAGATCGCTCTGAGTTTGAGGCCAGCCTAGGCTATGCAGCAAGACCTGGTCTGAAAAAAAACAAAAGTCTGGGGCCTGGTCCACAACACACAGTGACCCCTGGGACCTGCACCACGGGCCTCCCTGTCCACTGGGAGCCTGTCCCCAGCCATGGCACTGTCCCCTGTTCCAGGATGGACTCGGTGCAGAAACAGGACCTCCGGAGGCCCAAGATCCACGGGGCAGGCCGGGCGTCCCCCTACCAACCGCCCACGCTGGCCTCACTGCAGCGCTTGCTGTGGGTCCGAAGGGCCCCCACACTGAACCACGTCAACGAGGTCTGGCCCAACCTCTTCCTGGGAGATGCGTGAGTGAGACTGCGGGGTACAGGGGTGGTGGAGGGGTGTGATGCCCACCCACATGGGAGCAGAGGGGCAGAGGTGGCACCCTCGGCCTCCCACCCTCTTTCCCCATTTTTCTTCTCTCTCTCTTTTTTTTTTTGTCTTTTTGAGACAGGGTCTCGCTATGCAGTTTAGGCTGGCCTTGAGCTCACTTTGTAACCCAGGCTGGTCTCAAACTCACACCAATCCTCCTGCCTCAGCCTCCCGAGTGCTGGGATTACAAGCGTGAAACACCATACCCGGCTTCTTCCCTCTTATATTATTTTTGTTTTGTTTTGGGTTTTTTTTTTTAATTTGTTTTTTTGTGGGGTTTTTTTGAGACAGGGTGCTAGCCCAGGCTGGCCTCAAACTCGCAGTGATCCTCCTGCCTCTGCCGCCAGAGTGCTGGGATTATAGGCGTGCACCACCATGCCCGTGTTTTTTGAGATGGGGTCTCACTATGTATTCTAGGCTGGCCTTGAATTCACTATGTAGCTCAGGCTACAAAGTGAGCTCAAGGCCAGCCTGAACTGCATAGCGAGACCCTGCCTCAAAAACAACAACAACAAAAAAAAACTAGATATGCTGCTTTCTCCTGTTTATGTATAGTTTTGTTTTCATTGTTTTTTGAGATAGGGTCTCACTATGTAGTTCAGGCTGTCCTCAAATTCCTGGCAATTCTCCTGCCTCAGCCTCCCAAGTATGGGGATCACAGGGGTGGACCACCGGGCTCCACTGAAAGGAGGTCTTCAATTGGAGGAGCCCCTTTGCCAGGGCAGCTTGCAGCACCCTCGGAGGGGCCCAGAGGGGGAAGGGCCGGTCCACTCCCCCCAGAGCCGCCGCAGTGAGGTCGGCCCCACCTTCCTAACCCCCCACCCCCCAGGTACGCCGCCCGGGACAAGAGTCGCCTGATGCAGATGGGCGTCACCCACGTCGTGAACGCGGCTGCAGGCAGGTTTCAGGTGGACACGGGTGCCAAGTTCTACCACGGGCTGCCCCTAGACTACTACGGCGTCGAGGCAGATGACAACCCCTACTTCGACATCAGCATCTACTTCCTGCCTGTGGCTCGCTATATCCGAGCAGCCCTCAGCGCTCCCCGAGGTGAGCTGCTGGGGTGGCACCGGGCAGGCCGGGCAGCCTGGGTCTGGGGCTTTCCCGTTCCCCAGTAGCACTGAGAGGCGAGGAGTCCAGGGCGTGGACCTTGCGGGCAACCCTCCCACCCTGGGAACCAACACCCACAGGGTT